GGTGATCTAGTGAAAGTACACATGATGTCCTGGTGGTCAAACACGGTCAAATACGGTCAAACATTTTGATATTTTCCATTTCCCTGCATTTTACCTGCCTCTATATATTAGGTTGATGAATAATTATTGCGGATTTTTTCCAGCAAATTTTACTTAAAGAAATTCCAGAAATACTAAGCAAAGACATGTTCAAATAATTACTCCGGAACTTATTTACCATCTACGTCAAGCACTGCTTCCCATTGATTGGTTAGTTGGATCCCAAAAGCGAAGAAGTTTTGATCCTTACGGGCGATCCACGCCTTGACATCGGCCATGTCATCCAAATCGACGTAACTTCTATTCTCTAGCCATTTTTTCGATGAACGGCTGACGAGATAATCCATAAAAGTTTCTGCTGGTGAATATGGCAGATTTAGGGGCAGATCCCATTTCTTGGTTGGCTCTGGCTGATTGTTCGATCGCCGAAAAGTTACTGAGATCGCGGAATGACTGTGCCACCTTCCAATCTTTCTCGAAGTAGTAAGGCCTAATTTTGCGAATATGCGGATAGTTTTTTGATTACATTCTTGTAGAGGAAATCAAGTAGATCATTTCTAGGAAAAGTCAAACACTTTCGGGAGAAAAAAAGTCGCAAAAAAATCCGCAAAAATTATGAATCAACCTAATACGTCGTTGTACTTTCCACGCCACCTTTGTCACTTGTGCAAATACGTCGATACATTGGGTTGGGATGACGACACCTACTTGAACGACTGAGAAATTTTTCGTCTTGCTAGCAAAAAGGTGTCCTTATTCTCGCATGCCACGAAAGTAATTCTCAACATTCACAGAGCAATTCGAGTAAATTAACCTGGATTGCTGGGCTTTTGTGATCGATTCATAGCGCTTCCGACTACGCCAGTACTACAAGCAGACATTTGCATTGTCATCTTGCCTTCTACAGTCACCATATTACAACCTATAGCACCAATAGCATATTAGCATGATTTGTTCGCACATATGTCTACACCCACATATGTTTCCAAGCAAGGTACCAAGAAAGAAGGAAAGGTAAAACAGGTGCCGTCGCTAACGGTCATAGAATCCGTGATTTGATGCCCGAATGGTTTTCTCGAAAGAGTGGAAATGTAGTGAAGGGGGAGGGGGGGGGGGGGGGGGGGGGGGGGGGANGGGGGGAACGGGGCACTTTACCGGGCTTTTCCCACTAACACTATGAGTTGGAGCGGCCGGGAGGGGTGCCGACTTTGCGGTCCTGTAATGGTGCTTGGAAACATCCTAAGGTCGAGGGATGAAATTTCAGCATATCCCTGAGGAAGGGAAGAGCACCGGGTAGGTGAAATGATTACCTCGCGATCTCCCCAAAAAGCTGAGATGGGCGAAGAATTCAACAACCAGTTGACCATTGTTGATTCATTTCCATTCAAAAGTGCAAGCAGCAGCATGCTGGCATACTATTCCAAGTGAAAGCATGCACCCACGCCTCTGCTCCTCAGTTGTACGGTTTAGGCGAAGAACTGAATCTTCCGTGCTACTAAACTTCTAAGCGCCATTACAGGCCCACAAACTGGCTCCGTTTCAGAGCTTAGTGTTTGGGACGAAAAACAGCGAAGTGCTCTTTCTCCCAACGACATTTTCACCTGATTTCTCTGAAGCCATGCGACCTCTCCTTCTCAGGAGTACATTTTTACACTCTTCCGGAAGCTGAGCTCCTGAGCTCTTGGAGGCCATGTAGCCGTAAAAGCTCTCAAATATTAAGGCTGTCGTGACAGGGGTGGACCACATCGGCAAATCGCAAGGTAAAAGATCGACGTCACCCATAGCGTGCTTCCCTTGACATCGAACAGTCAATAAACATGCACATGTGGGATGTTGCTCATTTTGTTCTGCACATTGTCAGTCATGCCAACATAGACGTCATTTTCTCCACTTACTTTAATGAACGAAATCAAATAGTTGTTTGGCAGGCTCCAGACCTCAGTTTGAAAACGATGAAGCAGCAATAGAATGGTATCTCCAGACAACTACGTGGGAACAATTACGCAGCTTGCTAGTGGGAAACTCCCACTAAGAATACTACCAAGCTTAAGAAATCCAAAAATGCTTACATATATCTCTACAGGAGGAAGAACATGAATCGCCATACAGTGCAAAAAGGGCTTGATGAAGGGAAACCACATGAACTTATGCACGATGCATGTTCAATGTTGAGGGCTTGGGCGTCAAAGAGACAGCTTTCCGAAATCGCTTCAGAAGCAAGAAAATTGAGAAAATTAGTAGGATTCCTCGATAGAGAACCAGCGGTGATGGGGGGCAAGCCATATCAACAAGGAAGATCAAAACCTCTCATTGTCAGGCGTGCACCGAGAATGTTTTGGGAAATCTGGCCGGCTGTCCTGAAGAAGGCAGACCACAGTATATGTGGCCTCATTATGAAAATATATCTCAGGTGTTTTCCAAACACCAGTAGTTAATCGTTCAGAATCTAAAGCTTCTATGAATCCAATAAGGACTGACACATTTATTCTCAGTTTTTCGAAATCCCAAAGTGACGAGAGATGTTGGAAGATGTCCCATGTCGCAGCTAGCAGTCTATCTTCCTGTTTTTCGGATTGGGAATAGACGCTATGACGACGAATGACGGGCAGTTCGTCAAGGCGAGCGCATCCTCTTGTCTGTTAGTGAATGAAAAGAATTAGCAGAGGATAAAACTATAGCTGCAACCACCTCCCCTGCTCGGTTCCGAATGGTTAGCAGCTGCACACGACGCATTCACACATCATTGAAGATGAGCACCTACATACCATATAATTTAGTCCAAAAAAAAAATGTATTCCCGAGCGCGGATGGGTCGGATAGTTGTTTAGGGGCGCTTGCCTCTGTTATATGTTTTCCCATCATACAAATGAGGTTCCATTATTCTGACAAAGACTATGAATACCGAATTAAGCAGTGCATGTTTTGACTGCAAGATTGAAGACAAAGATGTCAGAATTGCTTGACGAGCGCCAAGAGAGGTGTTCTGGAATTTCCAGTGCCCGACCGCTTACTGGAGATTGAGCTATGATCTCATAAAACCATCTGGCCTTGTTACTGCAATTGCACAAAAAAACTTTTTCACAAAGTCTTCAATGTGTTTCGAGACATATGACAACCACTTGAGAACATGGAGGCTTTGCTCCATAAAATAGCTCCTGTGCATGGGCAAATAGAGAGGGAAAAAATATAATTCAATGTTCCCATCTTGAATAAGTCTACCATTTTGCTGTTAGAGAATCGGACCATTCATACATAGTCTTCATTTGTCACAAATAAAACTCTGCCCTTCCAAAGTGTCACTCCGAGAAATTCTCTCGAGAGCTCGAGAGAAGCGTCAAGGAGCTTCCAGACCGAACGAACCTCTTAGAGTTACCAATCAATTGTAAAATTAAAGCAAAAATATTCAACAAGCAAAGCCAACAAAGAAGAAGGCCAGCAAATTGTGGAAACATCCCATCCTTCAGGTTGAGAGGTCAATAAGTTGTTTGCCAAAAACCCTCAATGAAGGTAGGAATTTGGGTCAGTAAAAGGAATAAATTCTTCAAAAAGGCTGTTATAATGAATAAAAAGGTCACTATTAACAAGGCTTTTCAACTTTCTCCACAGAAGTTCAGTGGACCGTCCGAAGGGGGAAAGATATCGATCTTTGAATGTAAGCAGCTTTGCTAGGTAAACAAGCATTTCGGAAACGATCACTTTAGCAAGTTGGACTGAATAGGGCGAAGATGGCCTAAGTTAGGGGCGTGATAAGAGCATTCTAAAGAAGTAGCACATTACAAAAAATAGATTTATCTGACAGCTTTCCATGACAATGACTATTACGAGCCCATGACATGGTTGAATTCATCTAAAGTGTGTGTAGTCGCGTGGAAGCTTGATTGCGGAAACTGAATTTACCGCGGCGGGAGCTCTAAATAGTGGGCAATGGGTGTCAAACGGGCATCTCGAGATTGTGACTCCAGATTACTCGAACCGAAGAGAGATCTTCTGAATCCCCTTTCGAAGAACAAGCCATTCAACGCGATGACTGTATTCTCAATTAACTGCAAAATGCTTAATCTGATGATGAGTTTGTGCAGTCTCGCCTACGGTGCTCGCTACTTCGGGGATGTTTCTATTCTCTATTAAAAGCACGAGAAAAACACCTCAGCGCCCATCAGCTGAAGGCCTATGGCGCGGAGAAGGGCCTGCCGACTAGGCAGAAGCTCCGCAGAGAGGAAGAATCGATAAAAACCACTCGAAAACCTCTTTCTGGAACCAACTACGTAGCGTGGATCACGAACCGTTTGACACCTCCTTGGGTGCTCATATATAGCTGAATCGGAACTGGGTATCTGAGCCTCCATTCAAAGAAATTCAAAGAACTATTTCACCCATAAAGCATATACCACAGGGCGCACTAACGAACACCGGAACAGGGCGATTCTTGGAGGATGATTGATAACTCAACCTTCCAAAATCCAGTAATCATTAATAATCAAAGGAAACGAAGAGAAAAATCTGAAGGGAGACAGAAAAGAGCCGCAACCATGAGAGGAGCGATGCCAAAAGAGCAACTACGGTAGAGCAACAGAATCATTTGTGGAGCAGAGGAAATCGTCTTCCCTCATGAATCTTTCGCTGATGGTTAGCGGGGCCGCAAGTCGATACGAGAAAATGGCCTGGCGCCGTTTTCGAGCAAGTTTCAAAGGACTCCATAGAAAGAGCAAGNCAAGGACTTTATAGTGTAACTTACTATTGCTTGACATTGAGACCTTCTTGAGCAGGTCCGAGTACTTCTTACGGCTTGCGTTCCTAGTCGAGAACATGTCCACATGCCAGATGAGCTCCTTCTGAATGCGATTACGGATTGCGTTCAGAGAAAAGTAGCATTCTGATCTGGGGAGGCCCTTTCCACCTTCCATGCCAGCCTCGTCATTGAAGATAAAATAGATATGGTGCCAGTTGAGTGACCGTGCAATCTCGTACATCAGATTTCCAAGTGTTCTATATGTTCCCATCATTCGAGTGAGCAAGGGGAATTCCTTTCTGTCGCCGAGCTCGTCCACCAAACCCGAAGTTGTGAACACCGGTACACCGCCGAACCAGAAGGCGCTCATCCGGGCTACAGGAGCCAAAGCATACACGTATGCCATTCCCATCACAGCGTCCACTGACCGATTACAGTAGTGTTCCACCATTCGTTGGGGTGCAATGGCGTCGCTCAACTGGGTGTCTTCGTAAACGACATGTAAGGATCCGGCCGGCAGCAGCTGATACTTCTGATAGACGTCTTCAACGGCCACATCGAATACTGGTTGACTTTTTGAGAGGGTAAGCTTGAATGGATTTTTGAACACGTGGCCCTCATCCTTCGGAAGACCAACAACAATATTGATCGGAAGGCGAGGTGAATATTGGGTTGCAACGGGTCGCCAGATCAATAGAGCCAATAACAGATCATAGATCATTACGATTATGTTTGGATTCATGAGTCATGGCTCGTAAACCATTATTGAAGGCGGTCGAGGGAGAAGCACGAGTCGGCCTGCAGCTGAATATGCGCAGGCGGGGCCGTCGTCGTCACTTCCACAGCCGGGCAGCTGAGCCGTCGCTGCTGCCGGCCCCGCCCCGCTCTCGCCCGCCGAATGGCACCTCACGGTCGACGGCGATACTCGCCCTCGTCTTCATACTTGTCCTGCTATAGTGGTGGCCGCTGCTCGCCATCGACATCACGCTTGTTTTCATCGAGAGAGAACAATCGAGAAAGGCAAGTCGTGTGTTTGAAAACGGCCCCGATAACGGGAAGCATCCCCTGGGGCCGGGAAATGTCAACCACATGTCAATAGCCATGTCAAAACTGCCCTGACTACCGTTGCACTGCATATATCTGGGCACGATTTGTTGTTGTCATAGTGGTCGTAGGCTCAGGGCAGAATTGGCTTTGCCAAGATAGAAATACGAAGATAGCGTGCGAAGCGACTCAGTGAGCTTCATTCTCCAAAAAACGAAACGCGATTCGCTCCTTCAGATGATGTCATGGTTGTCATGAAAGGACCATTTCATTACTAGGCCGCATTAAGGAAGAATCTTCGAGAGACACAAGATCATATACAGTTTCGCTGCGCTTACTCTAAGATGACTAGTAGGGCGTCACTAGTAGGCTCCTTCAAGAAAACGGTTCCTCTTCGAGTTTCGGCTCCGAATTGCCACTACTTGCGAGGATTGCTGTCAGACTCGACGCATCGGATGCGTATAGGAAATTGAGAAAGTTGGAAACTCTTCGATTTCCCACTAAATCCACGTGTTTTTCATGTTGAAGCATAGGACCAATTTCGACCAAGTTTCAAAAAGACCGAGGAATTCATTACTTATGAGTAAGTCATCCTCAGTAGCTCTTCACTGATTCAGACANAGATTTGTAAAACTCCGACTCCTTGACCTTGTGCACTCCACGATCATCAGCAAAGCAATAGACGGTGAAATGGGCTCACACAGGCCTCGAAAGCAAGGTGCTCGTGATGGATTATCGGATTCTTGCTCTCTTGAATCATATTTCTTGCATTTCTCATGGCTCTTCGGCTGGGCACAGCAGTCACATCCACTCTGCGACATATATGTCTAGGCATGGGCTGCCCCCTCCCCTTTGTGAATAGCTGCGAAATCAAAGTGGAAGGCTCGGCTTTGCAAGAAGTCATTAAAACTCAGCCGCTTCGCAGTTGAACGGATACCAACTGCGCGGCACATTCTATTCGTCTTGTTCTTATACCTTATACGACATTTCCTATTTTCCCCTTATTACCAGCTGATAAAAAAGAAAATGGATGAGCTCTGCTATCTGCTTCACATTTCATCACTTGCTCACCGCTTAATACCCCAAATGACCCTCAGGGGGTATGCGTCTTTGCCGAGAACCATTATTGAANCGAAACATGCACAATTCAAGAGCCATTCCATATAGGAGATTACGTGATTGAAGAAATGTTTCATCTCTACAACAGGAGGGTTTCAAAAAGTTTTCCTTTTTCCTTCATGCAATCCAAATGGAATGCGATGGGCACATTGGAATTTTCGGGAATGCATTACACAAAATGCTTTACATTTTGGAAATAAAGATGGGAAATTCTTCGCGCTGAGAGAAAATTCCCTATTGGAAATCGATGAGGGAAGGCGTTGACTTGTAGGCTAGGACAATGGCTATGTAATGGGAGCATATTGAGCAGTGCTCATGACATCTTGAGGTCTCCCACACCTCCGTATTTCTCCCAGAGACTGAGCTGCGAATGAGCAGGAGCTAGTCCATGATGTGTTCGTTTGCTCTCAAACATCGAGCCTATCCACTTCTGTGTTTTCTCCGCTAATACGTGGTATCATTTGTTGACAGCAGGATGACCATTTTTCACATTTCCTGATATTTTTTTAATTTCCGCTACGAAATAATCCCTTCTCGTATCCGACAGAACTTTTACGCACCCAAAACCAGATAAACATCGTGTGTTAGTGACACAATCCAAATCGTATCCCACAAACACACGGTAAGAGTCATAATCCTAATTGAGAAGCTTTGGAAAGCATTTCTTACTATGTGGGGCACTGTCTGGGTCGCCGCATAAAGAATCGCTTTGTCCTCGACGTCCTCCTTGAGGCAGTCAATTCAAATCCACAATATGAAGTAAAAGTATAGGTGACGAGTGTGACAATGTTGGGAGAAGCACTTACCAGTTAGGAAAGTTCGAAGGATGAGAAAAAGAAAGGCACTAATAGGAGCCTGAAAGCCAAGAAAAGGAACAGCACTCAGACATGTTCGAAGGGCGAGAAAAACGTTGCACAGATCCTACTGGGATTCCCTTAGGGCTAATCTCTCATTCAGTCCAGAGTGGTTTCTTGTCAAAGCATAGCTATTCTTTTACCGATTTTCGGTCTGCCCATATTACTGTCATACCAACACTTGTGATACCCTATTGCATAAGTGAAGTGGTATCTTTTCAGACAATTTTTTTATAAGATTTTGAGCCTTCAGAACACGTCGTATAAAACTTGAAAGGTATTTAGCTGTTCTACACAACCATATGTTTCGCTTCAAGAAAAACCATGAGGTTTTGAAATTTAGGCTCATGCAGTGAGACATTGCTTCGACAAAATTAGCCTTACCAGCACTCAATTCAATCTATTGCAAGGAATCGGCCCATGATGTTTCATTGACTTATTTGCGAACATCTCTGAATCATGCACTGGTGGGTCAAATACTATTTTTGGTTTTTTCTCAGCTGTTAAAGGTTTTCAGTCAACTTTCTCGGAAAGGACTTTTTTTCTTGTCTGTTCACTAAGCCGATCTTTTTATACTAGGACCTTTTGCAGAAACGTAGTTAGGGGGAGGCGCTACAGCGGGCACTCTACGGTACCCTGCTCCTCTAACGTCAATGACTAGAAAGCTGGAAAGGAGGGGTGCCACCTTTGCGGACCTAAAGTGGCCTTCAGAGAGATTTCGAATGGGCAATGGAATTCGTGACCTAATCTTCAAGAGGAGGGAAGCATCGAATGAGGAAAATGTTGCTACCACGCGTAAAATTAGATTGGAAGAAGAATTGGCCAACAGTACACCGTCCAAGGAACACGTGTAGACGCCTACGTCAACCGCGGACACGTTTTTGTCCTGTTCCCCGCGTTTTCTTCAATAAGCATCTCCTTATTAAGAGAATGAGAGGGAACGGAAGAGCATCCCTCATTTCCTTCTTCAATACCACATAGAAAACAACAAATTTTTGTGCATGAACTGATCAATGTTGCTGCAACTGTTTGAACAATGTCGTTGATCGCAGTGCATAGTCAAATAAAGAGTAATTAGCGAGCTTAGGAAAAGCATGAGTTCCCTACCACACCGCATTGGTTATTAATTGATGTAAAGATTCTATGTTGTTGAATGTAACAGAGATGAGGACTTTACTTTCTTAGAGCACCCGATCTGATCAACTGGTAACTACCCCTAGAGAACAACATCACATTCGTATCTCATACTCTTATCCATCTGCCTCCGCACATCCCTTCAAAGTAAGGAATCTTCATAGCTAGACATAAGTTTTCCTATCCGATAGATCCTCGACTCATACTTCCGCTCACATGTCCACCCACCACGAGAGAGAGAGTGATCTGGAGGAGAATAGGAATAACAAGCGGGCCCTGTCTTTGGTGGATACGACAAACAGAATCTGCTCCACCGTCTGATTCTGACAGCTATAAAAATTCGGTTGGCAACAGCCCCGTAACCGTTAACGATTGGCCCCTTCCAACAACATTTTAACTGGATCCTATTTGACATCCTACAAATATAGCGAGCAGCTTTTACGGCACTTCCATCCCATTTGATAGCGGAAAGCAGGAATTGACTCAATTGCTATTTTTTTGAATTGGAAGTCTACCGTAACGCAAGGTGAAATTTAGATGAAATTCAAATCAAAGCAAAAACGAAACACATATTTGATTAGTGCGGAGAAGGAATTTTTGGATGACTCATGTAGCGGTATTGAAGAACAGAAATCAATTCCTGAAGACAATGGCTTATTTGGAAAAGCCATCATGGTTTTAAGTTGTGATGGTGAAATCAATCTCAAAAATGAAAACACCAAGGTTTGTGGGGCAGCCTACAAGTGAAACGCCCAGAAAAGCTCATCGCCCAAACTCAGTAAGCTCAGAAAGGGTCATGGGAGCGGAGTGAATTTTTGACTGATTCCCGGGGAAAATGAAGGGATTGGAATACGCCGGTTCAGCCGATTACCGTCGATGCGACTTCCCATTTATCGAAACTTTACTCTAAACAACTCCTTTCTTTACGAGAAACACCATTTCGCACTATAGAAAAATTTTCCTATTAGTATATGATATGTTTTCAAGCCAAACGATTTCGAAGAAAAAAATCCAATTCGAAAAAAAAACGACATTATTCATGCAACAGTGCAATTCTTCCATTGTTACCATAGTTTCGCTCTGATGTGTAAGCTGGAATTTCAAGGCAGAATAACGACGGGCGCAAGGGAATTTCAACCGTATCTCGTCAGAACGAATCTCTTCCGATGCCGTGGAACCAGTCTATGGTTCGCCTACAAAACTCGAACAAGGTAACTTTACCTTTTCTATCATTTTCCCTATTAAAGCCTTTTGTCACACCGTCAGGAGGGCGACCTTGTTGGGAAGGGGCGTTCCCAGGAAGCGTTTCTTCCCAGATGTTTTTGCTCCGTTAGCACTACAATAGGCTACTTGGTACAGCCTCTTTCCCATAAGGTAGTTCGCAGAATCGCAATCAGCACTTATCTTTCTTTAACAAAAACTACCATTCGTGAAGCTTACCTTATGTTTCTAACTTTTTACTACTAAATAATTCAATAAGTCTCTTGATTAGGTGAGCCTTATCGTTGAGAACTGGATTTCCACCTACATTTGTCATCACTGTTCCCATTTCTTCAGTAATTTCTGCTCC